GACATATTTCATAGAACTAGAACAAATACTTCAAAAGTTCATATGGAACCAAAAAAGACCCCGAAAAGCCACAGCAATCTTGAAAAAGAAGGACAAAGTAGGTGGGATCACAATACCAGATATCAGGTTATACTACATAGCTACTGTAACCAAAACAGCTTGGTACTGGCACAAGAACAGGCATATAGACCAGTGGAACAGAACAGAAAACCCAGAAATGGACCCAAGGCAATATGCTCAATTAATATTTGACAAAGGTGGCAAGAGCATACAGTGGAGTAAAGACAGACGCTTTAATAAATGGTATTGGGAAAATTGGACAGCTACATGCAAAAAAATGAAACTAGACCATCAACTTACACCATACACAAAAATAAACTCAAAATGGATAAAAGACTTAAATGTGACCCGTGAATCCATAAAAATTCTAGAAGAAAATGTAGGCAACAAAATTTCGGACATCATACGGAACAGAATTTTCACTGATACATCACCTAAGGCAACAGAAACAAAGGAAAAAATGAACACATGGGACTACATCAAACTCAAAAGCTACTGCACAGCAAAAGGAACAATCATCCAAATGGAAAGGCAACCCACTGTATGGGAGAATATCATTGCCAATGATGTATCAGATAAGGGGTTAATTTTCAATATATGTAGAGTGCTCATACAACTCAACAAAAGGAAGACAAAGAACCCAATTAAAAAATGGGCAGAGGAGCTGAATAGACACCTCTCCAAACAGGACATACAAATGGCCAAGAGACATATGAAGAAATGCTCAACATCACTAATCATCAGAGAGATGCAAATTAAAACAACAATGAGGTATCACGTCACACCTGTCAGAATGGCTGCCATCAACAAATCATCAAACAACAAGTGTTGACGAGGATGTGGAGAAAAGGGGACTCTAATACACTGCTGGTTCTAATGCAGACTGGTGCAGCCACTATGGAAAACAATATGGTGTTACCTCAAAAAATTAAAAATTGAACTTCCATTTAACCCAGTGATCCCACTTCTAGGAATATACCCTTAGAAGCCTGAAACACCAATCAGGAAGAATATATGTACCCCCTTGTTCATAGCAGCACTATTTACAATCGCTAAGATTTGGAAACAGCCCAAGTGTCCATCAGTAGATGAATGGATAAAAAAGCTGTGGTACATATAGACAATGGAGTACTATGCAGCGGTAAGAAAGAAAGATCTCTTATCCTTTGAGACGACATGGAGGGACCTGGAAAGTATTATCCTAAGTAAAATAAGCCAAGCAGAAAAAGACAAATACCACATGATCTCACTTATGTACGGAATATAATGAACATAACAGTCTGAGGAATATGGTAGACCCAGAAACATGGAAGTAGGGCACAGACTGACATCCCTCAGAAGAGGGGGTGGGGGATGGGTGGGAAGAGATAAACCACAGAACTTATATGCATGTATGCATGACCAATGGACATGGACAACGAAGCCGGAGACGGGGAGGGGGTGCCAATGGGGTAAAAAAGGTGAAATATCTGTAACAAAAAAATAAATAAAAAATTAAAAAAAAATAAAATAAAAAATAAAAAACAGAAAAAGAAATACATATTTTATAACTATATAGAAAGCACACACACATATATACAAACACAAACTATATCTAAATGCTGGCATAATTTAATAAAGACCCTTTATGATCTATTTTTTTAATTTTTTAAAATCTTTATTGTTGCATGTAGAATGTATTACAGATGTTCCACATTTTTTCCCCCATTGATTCCCTCCTCCCCACTCCCGCCTCCCTCCCGCCTTTTCCCACACTATTGTCTGTGTCCATTGGTTATGCATATAAGTTCTTTGGTTTATTTATTCCCACCCCCACCCCCAGCCCCTTTCCCTTTGAGGTTTGTCAGTTTAGCAACCAATTTGTACTTCTTAATCCCTTCACCTTTTTCACCCATTCCCCCAAACCCCCTCCCATCTGGCAACCAACAAAATGTTCTCTGTATCTATGAGAATGTTTCTGTTCTATCTGTTCATTTTGTTTGTAGATTCCATTGTTGATAGATAATGCATTCATTGCCATTTTGTTTGTTCATATATTTTATCTTTTTCTTCAAAAAGACCCTTCATCATTTCATATAATAACGGTTTGGTGGTGATGAACTCTTTTAACTTTTTCTTGTCTGGGAAAGTCTTTATATGGCCATCGATTCTAAATGACAGCTTTGCAGGATAGAGTAATCTTGGATGTAGGTTCTTGCTATCCATCACTCTGAATATTTCTTGCCACTCCCTTCTGGCCTGCAAAGTTTCTTTTGAGAAATCAGCTGACAGCCTTATGGGAACTCCCTTGTAGGTAACTAGCTGCCTTTCTCTTGCTGCTTTTAAAATTCTCTCTTTGTCTTGACCTTTTGCATTTTGATGATGATGTGTCTTGGTGTGGGCCTCTTGGGGTTCATCTTGTTTGGGACTCTCTGCGCTTCCTGGACTTGTATGTCTGTTTCCTTCACCAAGTTAGGAAAGTTTTCTGCCATTAATGTTTCAAACAGGTTTTCGATTTCTTGTTCTCTCTCTTCTCCTTCTGGCACCCCCAAGATGCGAATGTTGGCACGCTTGAGGTTGTCCCAGAGGCTCCTTACACTATCCTCATTTTTTTGGATTCTTTTTTCTTTTTGCTATTCTGATTGGGCGTTTTTTGCTTTCTTATCGATGGTTTGCTCCTTGGATTTACGTACTTTATTATTGAAGCTGTGTAAATTATTCTTTATTTCAGTTAAAGCCTCCTTCGTTTCTGATTGTGCATCGATCATTTCTGACTGGTCCTTTTTTATGCTCTTGAGGCTCTCACTGAGTTCATTGAGCATCCTTATAAGCAGTATTTTGAACTCAGCATCTGTTAGGTTGCTTATCTCCATTTCGCTTAGTTCTTTTCTTGGGATTTTGTTCTGTTCATTCATTTGGGACCTGTTTCTTTGTCTCCTCATTTTCGCTGCCTCCCTGTGTTTGTTTCTATGTATTACTTAATGAGCGGTATGGGGCTAGCTGAGACCAGATGCTGCTCGTTTGAAAAAATTTAGGAAAACCTGAAGCAGGATCCAAGTCAGGCCACTCCTATGGTTAAGCAAGTGCCAACAGCTTGGGTGGGCCTGAAAGTTGGGTGGGGCGGAGCCTCAGGGAGTCACCAGGGCGGGGCTACCAGTGTGAGCCAGGTTGCTCGAGTCCCAGATATTGAGGCTGTCTGCTGCCCCAGGGAAGTGCTCACCAAAGGAACAAAGGCCTCTGACAGCACGTTTGTCCCGGAGAAAGCCCCCTCTCCAGCCCTTGCTCCAGTGCCAAACAGCTCTTCCCTGTATGTCTCTGGTTCCCCTTGAGCTGCCTCCCCTCCAAGCTTAGAGGGAGTGAGTCCGATAAGTCCGTGCGCGGGCCCTTTAAGGAGCTGCCTGGGGCTCCAGCCGCGTCAGCTTCCCTGAGCCTCAGTTCCTGCTGGTTTTTCCAGCCAGAATTTATGGGGATTCTCTTCCTGGCACTGCAACCCTGAGCAGGGCACCTGGTGTGGGACGGGGACCCCTCTGTCCTCAGGAAGGACCTTCCCAGCCGAGGTGTCCTCCTGATTTTTATCCGCCACACGTGGGTGTGGGACCAGCCCATCGCACCGCCGCCCCTCCTACCAGTCTTGATGCAGCTTCTTTAATTCCTTAGTTGTAGGACTTCCATTCAGCTTGATTTCAGGCGGTTTTGAATGGTGGTGGTTCTGTAGTTTCGTTGTAACTTGGATGTGGTTGTGGGAGGACGCGATACTGCGTTTACCTACGCCGCCATCTTGACCGGAAGTCCCCCTTTGTGATCTTTAATATTTTCTAGAATCATGCTTAATTTCAGCAGATCTTGTTTAATAACATAAGAAAATACCTTCACCTCTTCTATTGATTGCTGTTTAAAAATTTTAACTTCTTGCCCAGCCGATGTGGCTCAGTGGTTGAGCGTTGACCCATGCACCAAGAGGTTGCCAGTTCAATTCTGGGTCAGGGCACATGCCCAGGTTGTGGGCCAATCCCCAGTAGGGGGCATGCAGAAGGCAGCCAATCTATGTTTCCATCTCTCCGTCTCCCCTCTCTAGAAATCAATAAAGAAAAAAAATTTTTAACTTCTTCAACTTTCTGATTTAGGGAATTTTTACTTGTTTAGTGTTAACTTCTATTTTATAGATAAGGACCTTAGAACAGGCAAATGAGGTCACATGGTTCTGAAGTGGCAAGCACAGTTATTCCAAAGGCCTCTCTACCATCACACCGTGCTGTGAAATGAACTGCAGAATGCTAGGCTTATAAAAGATTATTATCAATATTATTAAGTAGAAAATACAAGGTGCAGCCCTGGCCAGTTTGGCTCAGAGGTTGGAGCATTGCCCGAGGACCAAAAAGTTTCAGATTCAGTTACTGGTCAAGATCCCATACATGACTTACAGGTTTGATCCCCAGCCCCATTGGGGGTAGTTTGGGAGGCAACCAGTCCATGTGTCTGTCTTTCTCTTTCTCTCTCTCTCCCTCCCTCTCTTTCATTCTGTCTAGAAAATCAATGGAAGAATATCCTCAGGTAAGGATTAACAACAACAACAAAAATACAAGGTACAGAACAGTAGGCATAATATACTGCCACTGTGTGAAATGTGTATACACATATATTCACATGTATCTGTTTTACATATGCTTAGCATATCTATACATTGGCCAGTTTGGCTCAACAATTAGAGCGTCACATTGGCCCACAGACCAAATCGTCTGAGGTTCAATTCACAGTCAAGGGCATGTATCTTGGTTTCAGATTCACTCCTCTGCCCTGGTCAGGGTTGTGCAGGATGCAACCAATCAATGTGTCTCTCACATCGATGTCTCTCTCTCTCTCCCCCTTCCTCCCCTCATTCCTCCCACTATCTAAAAATCAATGGAAAAAATATCCTTGTGTGAGGATTAAAAAAACAACAGAAACAAAAAAATACATATGCTGTGCTCCCTTTGGCAGCACATATACTAAAATTGGAACAATACAGGGAAGATTAGCATGGCCCCTGTGCAAGGATGACATGCAAATTTATGAAGCGTTGTTCCATATTAAAAAAAATACATATGCTTAGCATATCCAGTATATCTCTGGAAGACCGAACAATGGTTGCCCCCAGGGATGGGAACTGGGTGCTAGAAATCTTTTTATTATAAAATCTTTTATATCATTGAATTTTGTTTTATGTGCATATATTACCTATTCAAAAAAGAAACTATTTTAAAGACTGTTGTTAGCTATGTTTTTAGAAACATTTGATTATTTTTTAGATTTAGTAATCTATTTGTCAGGAAAGTTTCATAGGCTTGCAAAGTTTCTGATGCTATAAAATGTTAATGTTAGCTATTATGATACTGATAAGCATTGGTAATGATCGTATCTTTCCAGTTTTCAATTTCCATGATCTACTCTAATGACCTGCCACTTTGGATTTTGAGAGGGAAATAGAATACTGATATAACATATATTGATGTTAGCAAAGGTAATGGTAACTAATTAATCCAATTCAACTATACATTTACATTTTTAGTGCTCTTTAAGATTTTAATAGTCTTTGGTTTATCTAGTTTTTGAAACAAGAACATAATGCCTCAAATGACAGTAGTTGCCAGTTATGACTGAGGTAAAAGTTTTATTTTATTATGACTCCTAAAATTGAACTTAAAAAAGTTTCCCATCTACTGAAAGCTGTATTTTAATTTGGGGCTACCATTAATGGAAATACTTTATCTTGAATATGCTTATTTTTGTACCTGTTTTCAAAACTAATGATCTGTTTACATAGCTATCTTCCTTACTAGACTGGTCATTCCTTGAGGGCAGGGTCCATGCCTCATTTGCTCTTGTTCCTCAGTGCCTTGCCTAATGCTTGACACTTGGTAGGTAGCTAAAAATGTTGATTGAAGTGAATCAAATTGGCCTGGCCAGTTTGGCTCAGCAGTGGAGCGTCGGCCTACAGTCCAGAGAGACCCAGGTTCGGTTCCCACTAAGGGCACATACCTCGGTTGCAGTTTGTCCCCAGCCCTGGTTGGTCGTGCAGGTGGCAGCCACTCGATGTGTCCCTTTCACGTTGATATTTCTCTCTCTCTCTCTCTCTCTCTCTCTCTCTCTCTCTCTCTCTCTCTCTCTCTCCCCCCCCCCCACTCTATCTGAACAAAAAATGAAAAAATGTCCTCATGTGAGGATAAAAAAATTTAAAAAATAAATAAAATAAACAAAACAACCCAGGGTTCTAAGAGGTTGTTACAGGGCTGTAATAGTAATACCTTGGAGAGAATGGATGGGAAAGGCTGCTGAGGAGGTGACTCTTGAGTAGAGTTGACCAGGTAGACAAAGGGAGAAAGGAATGTCCTAAGCAGAGAATAATACATGCACAAGCTCAGGAGTTAACATTTTTAGAATAGAGAAATGCTATTTTGTTTGGATTACATGCTCGTAAAGGACCCTCCAGTTCTGATTATGTGTACTGGTTTTTTAGTGTATTTTTTTCTTTTTACTTAATGTCAGATATTGTATGAATGTGTGTATTTTAGTTGTCGTTTTCTTTACAGGAAGCACAAATGCTAATCTCCTTCTTTAATTTTCATTCATAGTCAAGTTCATCCGAGAAGTAACGCCATATATCAAGAAGCCATCATTAGTATCAGATCTGCCATGGGAAGGTGCAGCTCCCCAGTCACCAAGCTTTAGTGGCAGCGAGGACTCTGGTTCTCCAAAACACCAGAATAGCACCAAGGACAGGAAAGTCATTCCTCTCAAAATGTGCTTTGCTGCTAGAAACCTAAGCATGCCGGATCTGGAGAACAGGTGAGCTGTACCTAAGCAGAACATCATACTTAAAAACATGTTGCAATACTACTTATGCATATTATTTTGCAAGAATATGACTGACTAAATTACACAGAGGAAAATATCAGTCTGAGATGAGAGAATAATTTTTTATGTTCCATATATAAATTATTTCATAAATATATGTACAGCACATATATAGAAAAATTTTGGACAAACACAAAAAACTTAATGATGGATACTCCTGGGGAGTGAAAAGGTATTAAAAGGAAAGAAGGGGCTTCTGGTTTTCATTTTATATCTTTCTGGAGTGTCATTATTACTTTCTTCACTATGAACATTACTTTGTCATTGAAAATATCTTATTGAAGAATTTTTTAAAATGTCTCGTTAGAAGGAAATTCCTTATACTGTGGATTGTGTAAAGAGCGAGAGATCTGTCTGCATTATAGATCTGACTGTATCAATTATGCAACCCTGGCAAGTTAGCTTCTCTTGACTTTAGTTTCCTCATTTGTAAAATGAGAGTTGGATTGGATAATTTCTAATGTCCCTCCTAGTTCTATAGCCATTTGGTACTTTATCTTCATCAACCCCATGAAGTGATATTAGTAAACCTAGTGTTAGATTAGGGATTGGAGGGGGGGAGAAATAAACTTATCCAAAGACATAGTTAAGGAGAAACTTTTTTTGTTTGTTTAATCCTCACCCGAGGACATTTTTTTCCATTTTTGTTCAGATAGAGTGGGAGGGAGAGAGAGGAAGAGAGAGAGAAAAACACCGACGTGAAAGGGACACATGGAGTGGCTGCCACCAGCACGACCAACCAGGGCCGGGGACAAACTGCAACCGAGGTACGTGCCCTTAGCAGGAATCAAACCCCGGTCTCTCTGGACCACAGGCCGACGCTCTAACTGCTGAGCCAAACCGGCCAGGGCAGGACAAACTTTTTATAATGAACTTTTATTTTTATGGTCTCCTCCCATCTGAATGTACAGCTTGGTGCCCGATCAGGATGGAATGGATCATAGAAGACGACAGCAAGAAGCTGACTGACTTTTTTGTGCATTTTAGGCCATAGGGACATTAAAGCTCCTGTTCTGTAATATGTTGTATGGTATGCCCTAACAAGCTGAGTTCTGCAGTCAGATAGACCTTGATTTGAATCTAACCTAAGTACCTGCTAAAAGGAAGGGTCTGAGCAAATGCCTTTACCTCCACAAACTGCCATATTCTCATCTATTAAAATAAAAAGAACATAGCCTTGGGATATTTGGCTCAGCAGTTAGAACATCAACCTACGGACCAAAGAGTTGAGGGTTCGACTTCTGGTCAATGGCACTACCTCAGTTGCAGGTTCTATCTCCCACCTCAGTCAGGGTCACGTGGGAGGTGACCAGTCGATATGTCTATCTCACGTCAATGTTTCTCTCTCTCTCTCTCCCTTCCTCTTTTCCACCTGCTCTATCTAAAAATTTTTTTTTTCTCTATTGATTTTAGAGAGAGAGAGGGAGAGGGAGAGAAATATCAATGAGAGAGAACATCAATTGGCCACCTCCTGTATGCCCCCCACTGGGGATCTGGCCCACAACCTGGGCATGTGCCCTGACAGGGGATTGAACCGGCAACCTCTTGGTGCATAGGTTGATGCTCAACCACTGAGCCACACTGGCTGGGCCACCCACTCTAATTTTAAAAATCAATGGAAAAATATACTCAGGTGCAAGGATTAATAAAAACCAAAACATAATAATTAATAATACTTAACTCGCCCTGGCTGGTTTGGCTCAGCAGTTAGAGTGTCGGCTCATGGACTAGAGAATTCCCAATTTGGTTCCCACTAAGGGCACGTAACTAAGTTGCAGTTTGTCCCTGGCCCCAGTTGGGGTCATGCGGTTGGCAATCAGTTGATGTGTCTCTCTCACACTGATGTTTCTCTCTCTCTTCCTCCCTTTCTCCCTCCTGCTCTGTCTGAAGATAAATGGAAAAAAAATGTTCTCGGGTGAAGATAAATAATAATAGTAATAATAATAATACTTAACTCAACATGAAGATTTAAATATGAAGCCCTCTACATAGAGCCAAGCACATAGTAGATTCTTAAGAAATAATAGCTTTTAAAAGTCGTAATTGACAACTATGTCTACACATTTTGAAAATTATATTCCAATATATTTGTATTGTTTTTGTTGCTTTATTTTGTAATATTTTTGTTACCCTCACCTGAGGATATTTTTCCATTGATTTCTGTGTGTGTGTGTGTGTGTGTGTGTGTGTGTGTGTGTGTGTATTGGAAGGGAGGGAGAGAGGGAGAGAAATATCAGTGTGAGAGAGACACATCAATAAGTTGCCTCCCAACACGACCCCGACTGGGGCCAGGGATCAAACCTACAACCCAGGTACGTGCCCTTGACTGGGAATCAAACCCGCAACCCTTTAGTCCACAGGCCAACGCCCTAATCACTGAGCTGAACCAGCCAGGGTGCTTTCTTTTATTTTGATTTTTTAATCCTCACCCGAGAATTTGTTTTTAATTGATTTGAGAGAGAGTGAAAGCAAAAGGGAGAAAGAGAGGGAGAAACACTGATTGGTTGCCTCCCATGCTCCAACTGGGGATTGAACCTACAACCTGTGTACGTGACCTGACTGGCAACCCTTCAGTACACAGAATGATGCAACAATCAACTAAGCCACACCAGCCAGGGCTGTTGCTTTCTTTTAAAAGTTCAAGACATTGGCTGGTATGGCTCAGTGGTTGAGCATTGACCCATGCACCAAGAGGTTGCCGTTTCGATTCCCAGTCAGGACACATGCTCAGATTGTGGGCTGGGTCCCTGGTGAGGAGCATGCAGAAGGTGACCAATTGATGTTTATATCTCTCTTTCCTTCTCACTTCCTCTTTCTAAAATCAATAAAGGAAAAAGCAATTTTAAAGTTCAAGACATTATAGAAATTATGTTGTGTTACCTACAGTTTATTCTTGAAAGGGTATGGCCCTGGCCAGTTTGGCTCAGCTGTTAGAGCATTGGCTTGCAGACCAAAGAGGCGCAGGTTTGATTCCGCTCAAGGGCACATACCTTGGTTGCGGTTCGGTCCCCAGCCCCGGTTGGGGTCATGCAGGAGGCAACCCATCGATGTGTTTCTCTTACATGGATGTTTCTCACTCTTTCTCCCTCCCTCTCATTCTATCTGAAGATAAATGGAAAAATATCCTTGGGTGAGGATTTAAAAAAAAAAATTTTAACCTGCAGACCAAAGAGTGTGTTCATATTGGATCATATCTAAGTGCAACACAGCATGAACTTTATATATTTATTTTTTATCTTTATTGTTGAATGTATTACAGATGTTCCTCATTTTTTCCCATTGACCCCCTCCTCCCCTCTCCCGCCCCCCTCCTGCCTTTTCTCACACTGTTGTCTATGTCCATTGGTTATGCATATAAGTCCTTTGGTTTATTTCTTCCCACCCCCCAACCCTCTTCTCTTTGAGGTTTGTCAGTCTAGCAACCAATTTGTTCTTCTTAATCCCTTTACCTTTTCCACCCATTCCCCCAAACCCCACCCATCTGGCAACCAACAAAATGTTCTCTGTATCTATGAAAATGTTTCTGTTCTGCCTGTTTATTTTGTTTGTAGATTCCATTGTCAATAGATATGTATTCATTGCCATTTTGTTTATTCATATATTTTCTCTTTTTCTTCAAAAAGACCGTTCAACATTTCATATAATAACAGTTTGGTGGTGATGAACTCCTTTAACTTTTTCTTGTCTGGAAAAGTCTTTATATGGCCATCGATTCTAAATGACAGCTTTGCAGGATAGAGTAATCTTGATTGTAGGTTCTTGCTTTTCATCACTCTGAATATTTCTTGCCACTCCCTTCTGGCCTGCAAAGTTTCTTTTGAGAAATCAGCTTACAGCCTTAATGGAACTCCCTTATAGGTAACTAGCTGCCTTTCTCTTGCTGCTTTTAAGATTCTCTCTTTGTCTTGAACCTTTTGCATTTTGATGATGATGTGTCTTGGTGTGGGCCTCTTGCAGTTAATTTTTGGGGGGACTCTCTGTGCTTCCTGGACTTGTATGTCTGTTTCCTTCACCAAGTTAGGAAAGTTTTCTGCCATTAATGTTTCAAAAAGGTTTTCAATTTCTTGTTCTCTCTCTTCTCCTTCCGGCGCCCCCAAGATGCGAATGTTGGCACGCTTGAAGTTGTCCCAGAGGCTCCTTACACTATCCTCATTTTTTTGGATTCTTTTTTCGTTTTGCTGTTCTGATTGGGTGTGTTTTGCTTCTTTATAATCCAAATCAATGGTTTGCTTCTTGGATTTACGTACTCTACTACTGAATCTTTGTAAATTATTCTTTATTTCAGTTAAAGCCTTCTTTGTTTCTGACTGTGCCTCGATCATTTCTGACTGGTCCTTTTTTATGCTCTTGAGGCCCTCACTAAGTTCACTGAGCATCCTTATAAGCAGTATTTTGAACTCAGCATCTGTTAGGTTGCTTATCTCCATTTCGCTTATTTCTTTTCTTGGGGTTTTGTTCTGTTCTTTCATTTGGGATCTGTTTCTTTGTCTCCTCATTTTGGCTGCCTCCCTGTGTTTGTTTCTGTATATTACTTAACGAGAGGTAATGGGGGCTATCTGAGACCAGATGCTCCTTGTTTGAAAGAATTTAGGAAGCAGGATCCAAAACAGGCCAATCCTATGGTGAAGCAACTGGCAACAGCTTGGGTGGGCCTGAAAGTTGGGTGGGGCGGAGCCTCAGGGAGTCACCAGGGCGGGGCTACCAGTGTGAGCCAGGTTGCTGGAGTCCCAGATATGGCGACTGTCTGCCGCCCCAGGGAAGGGCTCACCAAAGGAACAAAGGCCTCTGACAGCACATTTGTCCGGGAGAAAGCCCCCTCTCCAGCCCTCGCTCCAGTGCCAAACAGCTCAGTTTTTCCCTGTATGTCTCTGGTTCCCCTCGAACTGCCTCCTCTCCGAGCTTAGAGGGAGTGAGTCCGATAAGTGTGCGCG